TTTTGTCGGGGTTTCTTCATTTTCTTTCTTAATTCCTCGCGTTTAGCCATTCGGTCGCGAAGAACATTATTAATGTTAGATCTAGTGATCGTCACCTGAGCTTTGATCGCTGGAACCGATGGAACCGGTTTTATAAGGCCTCTCTTGACGAAGAACTCGATGGAGTAGAAGGAGACGCCAACAGTTGTGGCATATCTGGCGGGAGAGGCCAACTTGTAAAGGATCAACGCTAGCGCCACATAACCGGCAGATCCGGCGTTCGTATCGCTGTTCAAGATATTGATGATGAACTCAGGAAGTGGTAGTTTCTCGGCGTACGGCTTAATCACATCCAATATACTCTTCACATCAAAACCACTGAAATTAATGATATATTAAAGTAAATGAGACATTGAGTGGACGTAATGAAAGTCAATCCAAACCTCTTGGCGACCAGATATGAAGCGCCAAACCAGAGACCACTAGTGATGACGTGAACGGGTATTGATATATACCAGTACTTAACAAACATGAACTTTAATTTCTTGGTTAACGACAATTGTTTCATTTGCTGCCAATCGTCCAACTCTTTCGCTTTGGTCGGCGGCGTTGTCTTCGAGGTCTTGTCGCGGACTCCAGTCCTAAGTATTTGATCCAATCGTTGGTTTGTGTGACTTCTTATCGAAAAACAGCGAATCGACTGAAATGTCTTTGAAATACATTTAACCGAAAGTCGAGTGAAATCATCGCTTCTTGTGATCCAAACATTTGGCAAACGTTTAAATAAAATGTAATTTTTGTCATCACTTTGTTTGCCGTAACTCTTAATACAATTGAAGCAAAACTTTTGTGATTTACTGTCAGTTAATAATCGAAATGTATTTTTGCACATAATATTCATTGTATTCATTGTTTAATATAATAAAAACATTAATATATCCGACGATTAATAAACTAATGATAAAATCAAACGTAAATAAAATAAACAAATATTTTGTTTCAAAAACATGTGAATAAGTGTTGAAATATAGCGATATCTGTATATCTGTTGTGCAAATGTCTTCACAATACTATAACTACTGTATGCTATGCTATGAATGCAATAATTGATTGCATTTCGTAATCATAATTCTTTATCATTCATTCATTGCCATTACATAATACACTTTAAAAAATGATTATTCATTTATGTGTCAACATGGTCATTTGTATTACACCACGTAAATGTACAAAGCACATACCTTCAACTATAAAAGTTGCCCCCAATTTGCCCCCAATTTGCCCCCAATTTGCTCGATTGAAATGTGCCGATAAATGATTGCTTTAATGAATTGACAGATTCTGTAATTGTGTTACTGTTTATCCATTTGTAACTACAATTCTGCACAGAATTATGTGGTTTACAGAATCGGTTGGAGGCATAGGTTTACAGATTGGAGTCAACAAATGTGACTTTCAACAAAACTAATTGTTTTTAGTCAGTTTTAAAACTTAAATTTTAATTTATTAATATAAAAAATAACGAAATAATACAAATAATTGATTGTTTAAAAATATTTTATATTAAAAACTCTTACTATTTGAGATAATATTGACATTTAATACAATTTACATATAAATACACATTCAATGATTGGATATTAATATAAATACTTTAAATTATATGTTATATGTGTTTATAAATTCATAGCAATTCTTTAATAAATTAGTATCACTGGTGTTGTTGTTATCAAAGTTGTCTTAAACAAGTCTTCAGTGTCTCTAAAGTGCTTTCATATCGTTGTCTTTCTTCATCCAAATTAGATTTCGTTTGCAATAAATTCTGAAATCAATTTAAAAGTCAAATAAATTGATCGCTAATTAAATTCAAAATTAGCAAAACTTACGGCCATTTGTTGTCCTAAATGTTCGGCCTTTTTGTTAATGTTTTGCAATTTATTCTTCAGTTCATTACTTCTCTCAAAGAGAAAATCTTTCTCTTGTTTTCGTTCTGTAAAACAATAAGTCATATAAAATTAAATATGAAATAAATGTTTTTAAAAACAAAGACATACCACAAGAATATGTGTCATACGCTTCCATAACGGCTTCAATTCCCGGCCACTTGTAGTCAGAAGTGGAGGC